TTTATTAAATCCTTAACATTACATCCTTATGTGCATGATACCTTTGTTTTTAAAATTGTAACCTTATTATTTCTTGAAATTTTGACATAGGTAATGTTGTTGGAGGTTAGGTAAAGTTACCAGACGGGATCACTTTTTTTACATGGGCAAATGCCTACGCATACCCACCTCGCGGGGGAAATGACGGGTTATGTCGGACTCGCACCGACTAAAACCCCATGGTGTTCCACCTTCGTCGCTTATTGGCAGGGCCACGGGAACGCTTTCACACACATCCGCGGCCCCACCAACTCCGGCCGCCCCATGGCGGCGTCTCCTCGGAAGAGAACAACTCTCCCCTTTCTCCTTCTCAACAGAACACATGACGCGCCCTCCTCCACGGCCTCCAACTACACCTGCGCAACGAACGCCCCCGTGTCCGATGTCCTAAGGCCATGAGGCCAGAAAAAACGAGCACTCAGAAGTAGACTAGACTAGCCTTCCCGACCCCAGCAGCGGATCTGGTCTATGGCTCCGCCGCCAACCAAGATTCGGCTGCGGAGGGTAGGGAGAGCGGCGCCTCGCAATACCGACACTCCTGTCCCCCCGCAGCCTCACTACCACCGCATCAACGGTGCAGCCCCGTTTGAGTCGCGGAGGATAGGGCGAGTGGTGCATCGCCATACCAACACTCCTCTTCCTTTGTGATTTCAATTGGGTTGGAGCGGTAAGGGGAGAGGACACCCCTGTCGCCGCAGCCCACCAGCACACATCCAAAGTGGACTCGCTAAGCCCATTCGGAGTGGCCACCTCGGGCCCGCCCCTTACATCGGGCCAGCCATGTGGGTTCCTCTTTGTTCACCGCAGGTGACCAAGCCACTACTACTAAGCCCCCCGCCACGACAAGGCGGGAACCCGTTCGGGGGGGACCAGACCAGACCGGATCCTGTAGCAACTCTTCCTACTGCTAGGGTTGTCAACATTTCTTAGTTTGTACGAATGATGTAACTATATCGGTTGATAAAAACCAAACTAACCAGATACCTAATAAAATGTTCATACGCATATTAAATAAATTTTAAAGTAATATATTAAAGAAAAAATGTGTAGGTGTTTTTAATATTTTTGCATTTAGTATTACCTTTTTACAGTTTTTCAAAAAATCAAACAATCAATCATAAGTTGTATATTATAAAAAAATCGTAAATAGGTATACCTACTCTATTCACAAATCTACATATTAGGTACATATGTTAAGTTGGTAGGAACCATTGACATTCGTATTTATGTCCCACTAACAAATTGTTTCAGGTCAACGAAAAATAGGAAATAAAAAGCCTATTAAAAGAAACCGGCGACGATTCGTCGCACGGCTATATAAAAATTATTCGGAAGAGATGTTGCAATTAGCAGTAGAATCAGTCAAAAGGAAGAAGATTTCTTCTTATGACACAGAAAAGAAATTCGGCATTCCTAGAAGAACTACTGAAAAAAGAGCAAAAAAATCTCCATTGTGACAAACCGGGTTCACATTTTCGTCTGTTTAGTGAAGAAAAAAGGAAGTGGTTAATGTCCTCATAACAGCGGCAGCTTTGGATCTCCATTATCAATGTTGGAATTAAGACTGGCATTTTATGATTATTTAAAGAAAAATAATAAAACACATGTTTTTAATGATAAACCTCCGGGCGAGTGGTGGGTTAGAAACTTTTTAGAGCGCAACAAAAAACGACTCACCCTAAGAACCACCCAAAACATAATCAAAGCGCGAGCCAAAAAAATAATAGGTTAGCTCAAGGCTTACTTTGAAAATTTGGAGGAGGCTCTTCAAAACCTTTCGCCAGCCAACATTCTCAATTACGATGAGACCAACATCTCCAATAATCCAGACTGTGTGTTAGTAAGTGTATTTTCTGCCAAGGGGTTAAATACCCAGAAGATATAATGAATCATACCAAAAGGCGTATATCGCTAATGTTAGCTGGCACGGCGAAAGGAAAAATTTTACCACCATATGTGGTGTCTTCATCATCATCATCATTACAACCCTTTACAAGTCCACTGCTAAACAAACGCCTCCCCCAAGGTATGCCACAAAGCACGGTCCTGAGCCACCTGCATCCATCGACTTGTCTTACCAGGTCGTCACTTCATCTAGTGGGGGGTCGCCCTACACTTCGTCTACTAGTACGAGGCTGCCACTCGAGAACCTTTTTTACCCAAAGGTTGTCGGTTCTTCGAGCTATATGGCCGGGCCATTGCCACTTCAGCTTACTAATCAGTTGGGCTATGTCGGTCACTCTGGTTCTACTGCGGATATTCACGCAGAGAAACTCCGAGCATAGCCCTCTCCATAGCTCGCTTAGCGACTTTGAGCGTCCTCATACGGCCAGCAGTGAAGGACCACGTCTCAGTTCCATATGTCATCACTTGCAACACGCACTGGTTGTACAACTTAGTTTTCAGGTTTTGATGTATACCTGACGAGATGATGTATCGTAATTTCCCGAACGCTGCCCAGCCGAGTTGAATCCGTCGAATGACCTCTCGGTCGAAGTTGGATTTACCTATTCGGACTATTTGTCCCAGGTAAACGTACTCGTCAACAACTTCGAGCTTAGTGCTCCCAACAACTACCGGCATAGGTGTGACATAGACATTAAACATGATCTTCGTTTTGTCCATGTTCATCTTAAGACCTATCCGTTGGGAGGCACTATTGAGGTCATTGAGCATAGTGCTTAAGTCCTCCCGCGATTCTGCCATAAGGACTATATCGTCAACAAATAGAAGGTGAGTGATGTACTCGCCATTGATGTTAATACCGTATCCTTTCCAGTCCAGTAGCTTGAAAACGTCTTCCAATGCAGCGGTGAAGAGTTTCGGGGAAATAACGTCATCCTGTCTTACACCTCTCTGCAGTTGGATAGGTTTCGAACTCTGGTTCTGTACTCGGATAGCTATCGTAGCACTACTGTACAAACACTTCATCACTTCGATATACCGACAGTCAACTTGGCACTGCTGAAAAGACTGTAGCACTGTTGAATTAAATAAGCTTTTAAAAAGTTTAACCAGTAATTATTATTGTATAATGTGTTCTTGCTGTGCAGTTGAAGAATAAAAGTTTTCATATTCAATTAATTAACATCTTTTAATTGATAAAAACATTCATAACCCTTCAGGTTATGGGCTCAGGTAGACTCAGTAATTGAAATCTCAAAGAAAACAGCAAAAGAAAAGTTACAATCGTTGTTAGAACAAATTGACAAGATAACCTCAAAATGGATTCCCGCGCGACAATGAATTTAGACAAATTCGATGGACAGAACTTCAGGCAATTGAAATTTCAGATAAAGTGTGCACTAAAAGTGTTGGAGTTTCAGATATTTATAAATAATAAAATGCAGATCGGGTGGTTGTAATAATTTTTATTGACAGATAAAATGACAGTGGGTTTGTCCCATACAGATAAAAACAGTTGTGTTGCCAACAAAAAGTAAAAGGGATTGACATTTCAGTGCCTATACCATCTGAAAACAGTGTTGAGTGGTTAAAAAATGACGGCATGGCAATGTATATTATGACCTCTTCGATGGATTACAAACAAATTACCTGGATAGAGAACTGTGAAACTGCCATGGAAATAATGTCAAAACTAGAATCAATATATGAACAGAAGAGTGAACTATGTAAAATGTTAGTTCATGAGAGATTCTATCAATATAAAATGTCTACAAGTGACAGTGTCGCTCAGCACATTTCTAAATCGAATCTTTAGCAAAGCAGTTAAAAGAAAGTGGAGAAAACATCAGTGAAATGGCTGTGATAACAAAAATACTTGGAACATTGCCTCGCAAGTATAGATCACTCCGTCAAGCCTGGATGTCATTGGATCCAGCGAATCAAACTCTTGTCAATTTAACTGCTCGTTTATTGGACGAAGAAGCTAGCTTGCAGTGTGAAGACGAGCAGGAAACGGCTCTTCTTGTGGCTAACAAAGGTTAGAAGAATAACCCAAAACAAAACGATGAGAATAAAGGTGCTGGTGGTTCAAATCAAAATAAACCCACCAAACACAGGTTCGAGTGTTATAATTGTGGAAGTCGAGGACATTTTGCTCGAGAATGTCGTGCTCATAAAAAATCCAAGCCCAGAAAACCTCAACAGGAAGGTGCAGATTTATTAGCGTTCAATATAGAAACCAGTTTTAATACAACTGAAGAGAATGCTTGGATTTTAGACAGTGGTGCCTCTGCAATTATGACATACAGAGAGGAGTTCTTTTTAAATCTTTTTGAATGCAGCCAGAAATCATTGACGTTAGGAAACAAACAATCAGTTGAAGTGGCCGGCATCGGCAAAGTGTTAATAAAGAGATATGTCAATGGACAGTGGGAGGATAACCCTTCAAGCACCGCCCAAATTTCGACGGAATCAAAAGCTTTCTCATAGTCCACATACGCCAGGCAAAGTGGTAGATTTTACTCTTCGGACTTCTGTACAATTTGCCGAATGGTAGGAGGCTGCAAGTCGTCGAGTCTGCGTGCGAGACGATTCGTAATGACTTTCGAAAACAGTACGTAGACGCGACTCAGAAGGGATATCAGTCTGTAGTTCTTCAAGAGGGCGTTGTCACCTTTCTTGAAGAACAAGACCACCGCACTTTTGCTCCACGCCTCCGGAGTAGTGCCACCATGGAGGACGGAATTAAAGAGCCTCTAAAGGACTTCAAGTACCGGTTTTCCACCCGCTTTCAGAAGCTCCGCTGTAATTCCATCCTCGCCCCGGGATCTGCCGTTTTTAAGGTGCTGGAGAGCCATTCTAATCTCGCTCAGACTGACGTCCGGGATATCATCGGAATAGTGTCGGATAAGACTTGCTCTTGGATCGTTATTCACACTTGCGTGTGGCTCCAACGATGATGTGTACAGCTGCCCATAGAACTACAATCTCATTCAGAATCTCAGGTGTCCCGGAAACGATGCTGCCACACATATGTGGTGTATAAGGTAACAAATTTGTGGACGCAATGGGGGTTGGATGGACCAGACGGAGCTCTCTACAATCGTACGAGCAGTGGCTGGTTTGATTCAATTACATTCTTGTACTGGTTTACGAACATAATAATTCCATGGGCAAGTCAGCTAAAAGGAACGAAGCTTGTTATTGGCGACAAATTATCAAGTCACTTGAATCCCGACGTGCTAGACTTATGTGAAGCACACGAAATTCGATTTGTGTTTTTACCATCTAGATCGACCCAAATAGCAAAGCCATTAGATGTAGCTTTTTTCGGGCCCTTGAAGAAGTCGTGGAGAGAAATTCTTTCAACGTACAAAATTGAGAATCCCAATCAGACCACATTAAACAAAAGCCATTTCCCTCTTCTATTAAAAAAAATAATGGATTCTGCTAATACGAACACTGAGAACGTAAAAAGTGGCAAGGAAACGGAAATGTACCCGTTTAACCCATATCAAATATACAATAAGTTACCCGAATTCGAAGAGGAAATCAAATATGACGCCGATCAATCGGTTCTTCATTATTTGAAAGAAACCAAACAACCTAATCCTATCAAAAGAGGAAAAAACAGCAATTTAAATGTGCCACCTGGATAATCTATATCAAGCACGGATATTTTGAAACTTTCAAAACCAAACATCTCTTCAAAAAGGGATTTTTTTTGCGGGGGCGGGGTGCTTTGGGTTGTAGTCAAATAAAACCAACGCTGGATAATCAGAGACGCAAAGAAACAGGAAAATAAAGATTCTCAGCAACATTGTCAACCAGGAAAAGAAGTCAAAATAAACGAAGACGTGTTTGAGAAAATGAAGGTAACGGACAAAGACATTCCAGAAGTACAAGACATTAAATTACTAAAAGAAACTACATCTTTTTTTTCGTTTATACGACTAAATTAAGAGGCGCTCTTTTATTCAAAGGTCGCCATTTATTTTTTGTTCTTTTAAATTTGCTATATAATCACTACAGGGATACCAGTGCTTGGCAAAAAATTCCTTAATTTCTTAACGACACCGAACATTAAATGCAATAACTAAGGGCTCCACGTATCAATTTGCCAACGACACTTGTATCGTCATTGCCGATCGTAGTATGGATGTAGCACAAACTGAAATGCAGGAGAGTTACTACATGCTATTTAAGTGGGCACATGATGTCGGCCTAGTGGTTAACGCTCAAAAAACAAAACTTGTTCAAATACACTCATCTCACAACAAAGTTGCCACTGCACCGATTATCGTTTCCCACAGCCATGAATGTCTCCATGGAATACTTCAACACTGTAATTGTCAACCCATTGAAAATGTCAAAAATCACATGTATGTTGGTCTGATTATTGATGAACGATTCTGCTGGAGAGCACATAAAGATCACATGTGTGCAAAACTTCGCTGTGTGTTTAACGTAAGTAAACTTTATGTTTTAAAATTTAAGTTACCATATAAAATACTTAGATTACTTTTCATGTCATTAGTTATGGACTTAGCAGTTATGTTAGAACTTATGTAACGTACATACAGGAAATTCACACAATACAACGCAAGATACTTCGATGGATAGTGTCTAATCACATTAAAAATAAGTACATAGATAGAAGAGAATGACCAGGGCCTTTTAAAATATTGCAAAGTCATAAACGTTTTCGATAAAGTAAAATTTTATATACTGACGAAAGTTAATAATTTAGAATATCTAGTTCTTAAAAAACGACCTGTAAATCTACGAAATATAGCTTATAAATCCAACATGCATGTACTTCAGAAAACAAAAATTTCTATGGAGCAAGAAAGTCCGTCCATCTTGTACCTACTTTTATTAATGAATTGCCAATAGAATTACAAGAAACTTACGGTAAATCCAAACTGTTTAAAAGTAAACTTAAATCATATTTGTTAAATCAACCATATTTATTGTAGTAGGTACTTCTGTTAGAGTAATGTGATTTAATATTAATACATCTTTGTTTATATAAGACGACTCTCTAGCATAGATAAACCCCTAGAGGTTGCTATGCTAGCATTGTACTGGATAATGTAACAAAATTATGGATAATAAATTAAAAAAAAAATAACCTTAACTTAATTACTAAGCTACAGAAGCAAACATTATAAATATGTGGATTGTAGTTACTGGGAGAAAGGACTGGCAACCTGAGAAAAATGACCGCATATGTTCGAAACATTTTGAGTCGCGTTATTCTCGTAAAACGCACAAGAGGACATATTTGTTGCCGAATGCGATTCCAACACTTTTTATCCTAGTGAGTAACCTATTTTGATATTGAATTTGTGTTGTTGACTATTGTTGTAATTTTAAATTTTACAGGGAAATTTTTTCTAGATGCTCAATTTTTATTTTTTCAGGATATTATTGGTGAGCGACCTTGTACTACGAAACAACTGAAAATCGTCGAACCAGGACTTGAGGTAAAATAATAGTACATACATTATGATACAAGTACGCTAAGTTGAAAATTACATACTATATTGCAAACTAATGAGGGGTTGCACATGGGCCACAAGTTGACAAGATTGCAAGAATTGAGCCCAGGCCAGGTCCTTGTACACTATACTCAAAAAGAGGGAAACACATTTTGAACGGTTCTCAATTGTCCAATTATTTTATAACCACTTTGTTTGCTGGTAAAGCACAGGAAATTACATTTGAAATTGCAACACACAACAAAAACCCATCATGGCGGTAAGCTGTCATTTTTATTGATTGGTTACGTTTGACATCTTTATTTCACGTATTTTCGACACTGTTGTGACAACTGACAGTTCCCTTTCTATGATCATTAGTCACTTTATAGTTCACTATCATTGTTTATAAGCACAGAGTAACTAGATCGGTTAGACGCCATGTTAAAAATCGATAAAAATAATTGATAATCATCAATTGTTTACCAAAACAGGGTACATTTTAATAAATTATCTGTATATTTCCCGAACTCTACAGATTTCTCTCTATTTTTTTGAGGTTGTGTACATGGACCTGGCCCATTTTGAAACATCTGCTTTCAGTAAACAAATTATGAAAAAGAAATTGGCCGCCCAGACGTTTAGCAATTCAGTTGCCGATGTTATTGAATTCTGTGTTAATAAACTTAATATCGACGACTTTCAAAACTCTGAGATTACGAACTACGAACTCTGAAATTAAAACTAAACCCAAGCATACCAGTGCGCGGGTACCTTCAGATATAGTCAGTTCATTTTGCATAGCTCGGAACATAAACAATAATTAAAATAGCTGAAGGTACTCCGGGTTTAACAATGATATCGAGACGTCAGTCATCTCAGTCCCCCGTGACAATGGGTACTAGAAAGTACCCGAAACGTCGGGAATTAAAAATAAAAATAATTAAAAGTAAAATTAAACGCGATAAAATCTGTAATTAATGCATGAAGTATTGTATCAAGCCAGAACCGGGAAAGGAAATAGCAAGCGCGGTTGACGAAAAAACTAAAGCCAAATTGATTATGATTATCGACCCGTCGTTGTATGTCCACGTCAAAACCATTAAATCGTCGAAAGAATTGTGGAATAAACTACAGCAATTATTTGATGATAGTGGCTTTTCATGGAGAATAAATCTATTGAGAAATTTGATTGCAATTCGGCGGGTTAATTGCAGTTCAATGACGTCATATGTGACGCAGATTATCAATACAGCGCAGAAATTAAGTGGAACGGGATTTGAAATAAATGATCAATGGACAGGGTCATTGTTGTTGGCTGGATTGCCTGATCGCTTTGCTCCAATGATCACGGCAATCGATCATTCGGGCATTTCCATTACGGCAGACAATATCAAGACAAAGTTATTAGACATGGAGTCGGTAGATTACAACGAGAGTGAAACGAACGGTGCTTACGGCAGTCATTGAAATCATGCAAAGCAAAATAAGAATAATGTGTCTATGGTCAAAAAAAATTGTGATGTTGGTAGTACTACTGTTCCATCGAAGTCGAGTCAAGAGTTTGTTCTCCCCTCTGGACCGCGAAAGGGCTTAGACGTGTTCCCCGTATTATTGATTTAAATACAAATAACAACGAGTTATTCTCGGCAAAGTACTAGAACTGCATAACCTTTGTGTGATAAGAGACGGAGTGGACAAACGCGTATGAAAAAGACACCAACAGTGAGCATAACGATTCAGCTTCGCTTCACCGACGTCACTCCAACTTCACAATAGTCGCTTGCCCTAATTCATAAGCGGAAACGATTTAAAGAAGAAAATGCCACTAAAGACAGCTCCACCGTCTACTCCACAACAGGAAGGGTCCTTAATATTAAGGTTGTAATATTAAGGTTGTAATACTCTTTGTGAGCAAGGTTACCACACACACATTATACAAAATAGATACGGCATTTATACAATCTATACTTGTCTCAGAAACATTCATAGCATAGGGAGCTATTAAGCTTTCGGATCAACACAACTGATTGCTAGTACTTCTGAAAGGTGATCCTATAACTAATATCTCTGATGACATTGATCTTCTTGAAATATCCGAATTCATTGTGTGTAGTCCCGAATCTATTATTAATTACATAGATACATTCTCTATAATCTATAATCGTATTAGGAAGGTGATGAACGATTTGAATGGGTCTTTTCGGCAACATTTTACTGCAAATGAAGATATTTGCATCGATAAGAGTATGGTGCCATTTCGTAGTAGAATCATATTCGTCACTAGTTGACGGCCGACCGTTAGATAGCCGACTCTTGATCGTCGACGATCGATATTAACTTACCACTTGCATTGATAACTTTGTATTTATCTTAACAAATTACAATAAGTATGTAGTATTTTAGCAAGCCATATTTTAGAGCATTATCAAAGATTATGATACTTTTTTAAATTTTATTTATGCTTCGAAAATCATGTCGATTAGCAAAAAACGACATTATGGAAAACGGTCGATTATTTTCGATAAGTAGAAACAATAACCATAACATTTAAATGTTTATTTTATTTTGTACAGCTCTTTGTTTCTAACGGATCTTGATAAAGTGTACTTACTGACAACAAATTTTATTTTATGAATGAAATATCATAAGTTTTTATTTTATTTTTATGTCCTTACAATCAATACAACGTATTCTTCCTAAACCGAAATTATGCATGTAATAATTATAATAATTCTACTTTTTAACTTGCAAACATTTGCTAAAAAATTCGATAATAGACCGAACGCGCGCTTTGTAACCTCATTTTCAAAACCTTTTTGTGTATATATTATAGCGTCTTCCTTTATTTTTCTTATACAATCATATAGATATAACATTTAGCAATCGAAATCCTAGTAAAAGTATTTACTATGGTATTCGAATAAGAAACATACTACTAGCTACCACATTGATGATAAAATAATATAATTGTTGGTAAATTTAAAATCTTAAAACTATATAGCAATTAAGAGTTAATAATAGGTGTTAATACTGTTACGCGCTCAAGTCGACGATACACTAGCGCCATCTAGTGTCAGGAACGAGAGCGAGGGGAGCATTGAGAAAATGACATCACAAATCACTCAACCGACAGCGCCTAGTCGAAACTCGAACGCTCGGTACCTTGCGCGTGT